AGTTGAACTTTACAACAGTGTCATAAAACAGTACAGAGCCTTCAGACAGAGGAAAAGAAAGCAAATTTAAATATATTAACCAGACTAAAGCATGTAAAAGATCCAATGATAAATACATTAAGTAATAATATGTTAATGGTATCTAATTTACCCACTTCACATTCTGTCACAAAACTATTAGTAAACATCGGTTTGAAATTTGGTGAATGGACTTGATTTACATACAAGGTGTGGCACACCCTTCGGGTGTGTGTGGTTACCTTCACTGGTTGCACCGCAGTACCCTCAGAGAAGTTTGGTGCTGGTATATATTTACTGCCTATAGTGCAGTAGCTAATGGCTAGAAATGCATTCTCCTAATTTCCCCCATGAACTCAGAGAGAGCATTCATGAATTAATAGCACGGGTCCCTAAGGGGCCCAAATTCCTTACTGTTCGCATTTCCTTGTGTGCTCCTTTCATTCTACTCATGGCGCCTCACCTTCCCTTCCTTTCTTGGGGGCCGTGGGAACCGCTGGGAGGAGACCTGTCTCAGGCCACCCAGGCGCTAGGGCAGGGACCGGCCCAGACCTCCCACGGTGCCACACAGCACAGGCACACAGCACCTCGGTCCAAGGCCCACAGACCCTAGCACCCAGGCATTGGCCTGATTCCAGGACCTTCAGATCTCTCCTCTGTGGCCAGCCCCCACCCTCTTCCTCCCCTTCAGTCGCCCACATGTCCTTGCCCCAGGCGCCCAGACTCCAGTTCAAACAGAACTTCCTAAGAAAGCAGCCCTGAAGCCACAGTGGTTCAACCAGCTGGACTGGAAATCACAGAACACAGCGGGCCGCAGCTGAACGTGGCCTTCAGAACAGAAGGTACAGAGACCAGGGGCAGGTGTACTCAGGGAAGACCGAGGATGGGCAGGGGGAAGTCAACTCATGGGCGGTCCCCCGGCTGCCACTGCAGAATGGAAGCCCAAAGTCTGGGCATACAGATGTCTACATAAGATAGGACCTCTCAGCCCCTCCCACCCCCTCCTGGGTCTCCCTGCCTAGGCAAGCAACACACATCACCTGAGGCCCATTCAGCAGTTGCCAGGTTGCTCAGTGGGAACTGAGAACAGGTGCTGGTGTGGAGTTTGCAGCTGGTGCCCTGCGAGGGGGTAGGAGGGGCTGAGAGGCTCCTTCGAGCCTGGATACTACCATAGCCCCTGACCGGTCTGCTGCGGCAAGTCTGGTCCCCTCTTCTGGCCGCCACCCTGAGTGCCGTTTTCACCACATCAGAAGTTGCTCAGGAACTTCCTACACTATTGTGAAGGCTCAAGTTCCACCCCCCTCAGCTAGACCCTCAATGCCTTCACTCATTCATTCATTCATTCATTCAACATTTATGGAGATTGTTCCTGGCCGTGCACTAGGACTATGAAAACACAGAAGAATAAGATTTGGTCTCACCTTCAAGTTTGGGAGGCAGAGAGATAAACAAAGGAATGTTCTCCCTCTTCCCTTAAAACTCCTTCTGTTCCAACCAGACTGCCCAGAGTCCCATGAACACCCACTGAATTCCCACCTCTGTTGTCTCTGCTGCTGCGACACCATCTGCTCCTCCCCCAACAGGAGCTGAAATGCAGCCCACACGGCGAGGCCCTGCTTCGGCTTCCCCTCCTCCTGGAGCCTCCCTGCGGCTTCTGGTCCACAGGCCCCCCTGCTTCTCCGGCCTCCTCCAGCACATGGTTGTAGCAATGGCACTCTGGCTGCCTCACGCACAGTCTTACCTCATGGTTTAGATGCTGACAACGACCGAGACCTTCGTGAACGGTAGCAATCGCGATCACCATGGATCCCCACCCTGGACGAGCCTTCACTAAGTGTTCACAGGTACGTTATCTTGTGGCCAAGGCTCTCTCCGCCTGTCTTGCCTCCCCAACTAGACGACAGGCCTCTGTGGGCAGGCAAAGGTGCAAAGCAATTCATCTCTAAATGCCTGGCACAGTGCTTTGCCATGAGTGTGCAATTGGTTTAACAGGTGAGACAGTCTTGTCAGGAAACAGCAGAACACATTAAGGCGCTGGCTGCCCACCTTTGCCCCACATCATGGGACCAGTGGCACAGGGCCAGCTGCAGGGCCACCAGGCCATCTGCTGACTCAAAAAAGAGGGGCGGTCAGCGCCTCTCTGGGAGGTCCCCTCACTGCTCCCCTGCAGACCGTTTCCCAAATGTCACAGGCTCCTACATGAAGGGGCATAAGTAGTAAATCACAAAAGTGCCAGCCTAGGTGATACCAGCATAGTCCAAGAATCTGAACTCTGTCTTGGCACTGCTTGGTGAGTTGGCCCATTTTCTCCACGCACAAAAGAAGCTCCAAGGAAGGTGCCTAGATCAGTGCCAGCAAAATAAAAGAACGTGCCTTAGACGAGGAGCAGCTTGAGAGAGGACGTGCATTATTCATCTTGGAATCTCCAGGTCTCAGCACCGAGCCTCCCTATAGGACACACGCACAGTTTCGACCAGATAAGTGAAGGACTATGACTTGGTAGTGCCCATTCCCCTGGCTCCTTGATTTGCCTCCTGGCTGCCCCTTCCTTCTCTATGGAAAACTTTCTACATCCAGAAAAGGGAACAGCTTTTCCTGATCATCCCGCCCTTTCCCCAAGTCTTAGTTAATGCTGAAAAATACGCCCAAGATGAGGTAGAATAAGCTTTCAACAAGAATGCATTTAAGAAACAGATTTTAAAAGGCTGATGTGAAGAAAGACAGGGTTTTTTCTCTTCCACAGAATCCAAACTCCTAAACAGTCCTCTGCAGCCTGGGGGGCAGGGGACACAGTCATCAGAAGCTGAGAAAAAACTAGGAGAATGGTCTGTGGGTTTTAGGTCCATATACCAAGGGCCTTGTGGGAACCGAGGGGCTGGGATGCTGTACAGACATGTCTGCCAGTTCACTGATTCTCCTCTGCCCACAAAGTGGTCAGTCCCAGAGGGAACCTGAGGAAGTCCCTGTGACCTGGAGGGAAACCGTCACGTTTACCTGTCTGGCTGGAAAAATATCTAGGATGGGGAAAGACAAGGTAGAAGGTATATTAAGGAGAACGGCTGGTGATGAGCAATATGGGGGCCAGGGGCCTAAGGAAAGAACAAGCCTCAGAAGGGCCATCTCAGTACGTCAGAAACGGCGGTTCCCTCACTTGTCTGTGGGAAAGGGGGACACGTCTCCTAGGGGAGACTAACTCCCCCACAACACTGAGCAGGAGCCCAAGAGCTTCTGAAGAGAGGTAGAGGAGGAGTAAAGCTCTCCAAAGAAAAACTCCGGTCACTCCTAGGGCTTGCGATGTGGTCAGGATACCAGGGTGCAAACTCCTGCTCTTCAGGTAAAAGCCAGGGGCCCCCAGGCTGCCCGCCGCCCCCATTGCGATAGCTCTGCAGCTCCTGGCACCAGCCCATCCCCCCAAATAATTGTGGAAAGTTTCCTTGAGTGTTAACCTGCTGCCTTTTGCCCCCACATCGAACCCACACCTGTCCTCATATCCCATCTGGCTCCTCAGCCACTCCCTTGCTCACACACAGGCCCTTCCCTAATGCCTCCTGTTCCCTCTGAGCCTTCCCCAGAGGCTTGCAGCCCTCTCCTGGCCTGTGTGTCCCACCCATCCCTCTGAGGTGTCTCTCATCCAACTCCTGGACCTCCCAGGAGTCTACCTTACAGCTTATAAGCCCCTAGGAGGTCAGTGAAAATGGTAATGACACCAGCATTATTCTGCTTCACCACATGTTTGAGTTTGTGCTAAGTGCTTTTAAAAACATTATCTCATTGATTCCTCACAACGCCTTGATAGGTAGGTACTATTATTATTCCCATTCTACAGAGGAGAAACTGAAGGTCAGAAGCTTAAGTGATCCTCAAGGTCATGTTGCCCCGAAGTGAGGTCTGCAGGTCTGTCTGACAACAAAGACTGCCTCTTAACTGTGAGGCCCTGTTCCTCCTGGCGCCACCTGCTCTCTCCTCTCTTGGCAAGAAGTGTGTTGGGAGGCAGGGCAGAAGCTTCAAGAGTAATGGAGTGCTAGGGCCCTGGCTGGCAGAGGGGGACGTGGGCAGTCCTGAGGCTCCTCTGGACACCAGTCAGGGGACCTGTTAGATGTGGGTGGAATTCCCTCAACTTAGACCTCCCAGAAGAGGCACCCCTCAGAGGGAAGGCCTCCATCCCCTGCCAGAACTAGTGATCCCATCAGAGTCCTGTCTGGGATGCCACGAGGCCTGTCCCTCTAAGCACAGGCTCCACGTGGCCGGATCAAGGAGAGGTATTCTCTAAGGTGGGTCCTGCCTGCCTTTGGACCCCCTGTCTGGACAAGTGGTCCTGAAGTTCCTCAGCCTCTTTCAAACGGGTGCTTCAGTCAACTGCTTTCCCAGAACTGGCTAGTAAGTGTCGGTTTAGCAGAACGTGGGCACCTCACCTTATTTACGCCCTTCTCCAGGTGTCCCACCTTGTGGCTTACCTTCACAGCTGTGCCCTGGAAACTCATTCTCTTTGGCCCCTCCCTCCCTTCCTCCCTTCTTTCCACTCCCGGCTCCACATTGGGTCACCCATGAATTGGGGGTACCCAGTGACTCAGTGACTTGGCTCCACACTCTGAACTCCTCACGCAAAAGCTTTAATCCCCTCCACCCTACCTGCGGGTGTGGGGGTGTCATTTCAGTGGTTAAGATCCTGGCTGCCCCAGCTCAGGGTACCCAGGCCTACACCCGCCCCGGTTGTCTCGGCTTCGGTGGGAAGGCTTCCCCAGCGCGAGCCCGGAGAACCCATCTCCAGTCACAGACAGCAGCAGAGACCCCTCACCTCCAGGAACCGAGGCTCAGGTCCCCAACCGGCGGCCCCTCACCCAAGGATTCATGCGCTCGTCCTAGCTTCTCGCCTCCCCACCTTCAGCGGATGAGGCTAGCAATTCCTCCCGGGCTGGGCGGGGAAGGGGCCACGGGGCAGGTGGTGGCGGGGTGGGGGGCGCCCCTCGGCCACCGCCCCTTACCGATGGTGGAGATGTGCGAGGAATGGAACTCGTTGTCGGTGAAGCGGCACAGCAGACAGGTCTTGCCCACCCCGGAGTCCCCGATCAGCAGCAGCCGGAACAGCACATCGTACTGCTTCGCCATGGCTGGGGCCGGAGGAGTCCACGGCTGCGGCGGGCGGCGGGCTCAGCCCCGCTCAGCCGCTGCCATCGCGGCGCGCGCCTGCCGGGGGAACACCGCAGGCACCTAGGAGGAAGGCGGGCCGGCCCCCGCGCCGGCCTCCCAGCTCCAGAAGTGCCGGGGAGCGCAGAGGGAGGAGAGAGCCGCGGCTGCCCCCGCCCGCCCCTTCCCCCGCCGCTGCCGCCGCCCGGAGAGGGGGCGGAGTGCGCGCGCTGGAGAGCCGCGACCCCACGGCGCTGGCGAGGCGGCTGCGCGCTCCCCTCCCGCAGGGTGCGCGGCCCGGGAGGGGCCCAACTCCCTCTGAACTCCTTCTCGACCCCCTTCCAACCCCCTTTTGTCGGAAACCAAACCCCAGGGAAAACATTTTCGGTTTTTCTGCGGACATTCTGAATGGGTGAGTTGGCGTGAGCTCCCACCAAGCCCACCTCTACCAAACTCGGCTTCTGGGTCTCATCTTTTCTCCCCACACCCCATCCCGAACCTGCCAACAAGCCAATTCCGCCTCCCCCTGCCCCGCCAGCACCCCCAACACCCCGCCCCTTCAGAAGCTTGGTGCAGGGGGCAGAGGGTGGTCCCCACCTGGGTTCTTCCCTGGTGAAGGCCTTAATCAGGGTCTGGATTCAATTCAAACAGCATCTACTCCTGAAGCCGGGATCTCCAGGAACGCCGGAGAGTGTTGCTAGAATTCTCCCTCTCTGCCATCTGGCCTCCCCATAACCCTGTGTGACTGCGTCTGCCCTTCTCTGTCCTCCCCCATCCCAGTTTTTCTTTAAATGGGGAAAATTGCTGACCTCCTTCACCAGGCTGAAAAGCTACATGATCATAAAAACATTTCCAAATGCAAAATCGTTTGGAAATGTTGTGCAGGCAAAAGTCTCTGTTTTGGGTCTGAGCCGCTTAGGGTAGGCGCTCAGGATTTCAGTACATTATTTCAAACCACTAAGTATTTCTGCTGGTGTACACAATGGCACAGAAGAATGAATGGGCCTCCTTCAAGACCTAATTTACTACCGCTGAATGTGTTAACGCCTGTGAGAGGCAAATAAATGTTCTCTGGAGTCTAGAAAATTGCCTATTCCTAAGAATGAGTATTAGGGGAGTCTAGCCCATTAGATCTTTAAAAAGTGATGAAAGTGTGTGTGTGCGTGTATTTGGGTGTGACTGTTTTCAGGCTGAGTAATGGATGGAGAGTGTGTTTTTCAGGAGTGGGTCAAGGAAAGCAGTAAGTCCATTTATTTAAATAATTGTATTTCAGGCAAAGCGTCTAAATTTATAATAAAGAGGAAAAAATTCTGAATCTGATAGCTACTTTGATTACATGAAAAGCGAAGGAAACTGACCCTATGGATTCCATTAAGATTCCCGGGTGTGTGCTGGACTTACACTGGGTTTCTGGTGCACGCCAAGGGCTCTGCCGTCGGGCGTCCCTGGGTGCCCTCCGCGCTCCTCCACTCATGAGCTGTGCAGCCCTGAGCATGTCACAGAACCCCTGTGCCTAAGTTTCCTCGTCTGTGAAGTTAGGATGTCCTCACAGGATTGCTGGAAAGATAAATAAAGTGTGGAAAGGATTTCATGCAGTACTTGACACAGCACTCAATAAATGCTGGGGGCGTGGGGAACCACCCTGCAGTGTTTTCCCTGCGCACATGTGGGTGGTACAGGGATGTTTTCCAGGACTCGGGCCTGTCCTGCTGTGATTTTCCTCCACAGAACACACACAGTGCAGAGTGCACAGTCAACGCAGCCTGACCCCACGTGGGCACTGCAGCGGCCTTCGCATCGATCGGCCCTGTGATGATACATGCTCTCCACAGGCCTCCTTGCTGGGGCCATTCGTGGCTTGCCGCTTGCCTCTGTCTGGGGGACCAGGAAAGCAGTTGCAACAGGTGAATTCTTAGTCCAGGAAAGAACTTCACATTGAAGGAAATTACTTTCCCCAGGCAAGACAGGAAAGGAAATGAGGTTTCCTGAACAAATCCAGGGACATAAATGCCCAGACTCATGAGCAATGGAGGACATGTCACCCTGCTGGACTCATCTCAAGCGTAGTAGCTTACATTGCTTAAGGAAGTGGGGGAGGGCCCCAGAAGAGAGCATGGAAGCTCCATGCTTCCCCTCCCCCCCCCCCATACCTTGACCCGATGCATTTCTTCTGTCTGGCTGTTTGTGGCCTATTGCATATACAACGAAACAGGCAAGGAGCCCAGGCTTTTAGATTTCCATTATCATCCTGGCTTAGCTATTGGAAAGATGTGTCTGCAGAGCTGTCATACAGACACCTCCCTTTCTCAAGTGTGTGTGTGTGTGCACATGTGTACACATCCATGAGGTGTTGGAGCTGAGAATTTGGGGCAGTGTTAGCAAAAGAACCACATAGCTACTGGAGACAAAAAAAGTTTGCTCTAACCAGGGTCTTTGTCAAGGAAATGCCTAGTCCCATCCCCTTCCCTCGGTCACTCAGCGGGACATTTTGGCATCCTCTCCAGTTGACATCAGCTTGGACTGGAGCAGATTTCAGTAGAACTGGGCGATATCTGAGGAATGGTTGCTGGAGGTCTCACAAGAGTCTCCCAATTACATTATTTTCATTCTTTTACCAGGGACATAAGCGCTTGTCCCTGCTCCTCACCACCCCCAGCTAAGCCATACTGAGCATGCTCCCAGCAAAGGCATCACTGTGGGATCTGCCATAGCAACAGCTGAATAAGTAGAAAGATGAACCGATAGGCAGCTCACTGCTGAGACTCAACGCAGGTGGCCTGTGGACTCCTCATTAGCAAACCCCATGCCTCTTCTAGCCTCATGCCCATGTTTGCTGCTCTGGGTGGCTGTAAGCGATGTCCTCACCTTGCGGAGAGATTTCCACCTCATCTAGGATGAGAAGAAACAGCACAGACTCCCAGCATCATCTTCTCAATACTGCCCTCCATTCACATTCTTTTTCTTTTCTATCTCTGATATGTAGAGAAAGGGGGAAAGGGATTCTGAAATGACAAGGAAAGAGGGAAGAGGGCAAGTTGTCAGACACTTGTGCATATTGGGGTTGGGGGCCAAGGAAGACAACCCTGATGGTAATTTGTGCTCACACAGAATGACCCACAGGGCCACTTCAGGTTGTCCGTGGTGCCCTGGCCCCCACCTTCCTGACCGTGTTAGTTTGCTCAGGCTGCCTCAACAAAGCACCATAGACTGGGTGGCTGAAACAGCAGAGACTTCTTGTTCTCACAGTTCTGTAGGCTAGGAATCCACGATCAGAGTGTCAGCAGGGTTGGTTTCTTCTGGGTCCTCTCTCCTTATACCTGCCATCTTTAGGTTCACCTTTCCTTCGTGTTCAGTTGTTAGATGCCTGCCTGTGTCCCAATCTCCTCTTCTTGGGAGGACACCAGTCACGTTGGATTAGGGCCCACCCATATGATCTCCCTTTACCTTCATTACCTCTCTAAAGGCCCTAATGCCTAAAACACCTTCAGTCACCTTCTGAGGTATTAGGGGTTAGGACTTCAGTATAAGAATTTGGGTCAGGGGGACACAATGCAGCCTGTGATGAGGAACAAATCCAGGAGCCACCGCAGAAAGTTCCTGTGCACAGTTTTTAGAATGATTTTATTCTCTCAGAACAGGAAATGAAAGTTGTGTCTTTCTTGCAGCTTTTTGATTGGTGGTCTAGACTGTGGATGTGGAGGGTTTGTGAAGGAGAAGCCTCAGAAGAGAGATACTTTTCTTTATGAGACTGGAGCCGAGAGACGTGACTAGCAAGCTCCAACCAAGCAATGTTCGTTGTATTGAACTTTTATTGTCAAAGTTATCTTTTGGGAGACAAAACATAACGTGAAGTTAGGAATCTTTGCACCATGAATCATTATAAGTATTAGTTGAGGTGCTGCTAGTTACTGTAACAGACAAACCCCTGATTCTCAGGGTTTCATGCTGTTAAGATGTATTTCCCTCTCATGTAAAGTCTAATGGGCAGCAAGGAGGTGGGAGTGGGGGCGGGTAGCTTTCTTCCACAAAGTCATTCAGGCTCCCAGGTGGCTGAGACTCTGCAACAAGATTCACACTGTGGGACTCATTTTAAAAGCCAGACATTGCTCTTCATTGGAGCTGACATGCAAGATGGTTGGTGGAGAATGCCCACCAAGCAGCAGTCAGGAAACACCGCATCCCAGGTCCCTCACACATCAGGACTGCAGGCTTTCTCTTCTAACTGAGTATATCCCTAAGGCCCCCTCCAAGACTGGCTTGTAGGAAGCAGGGAGGAGGGGCTCTGTAGGGAAGATGACGCTTTGGGACCCAGCACAGTGGATGGGAGGCTGACCCTGTAGTTACAAGTTAGCAAGCTTCAAAATGGCTTTTGAAAAGGAGTGGTATCGTACACATTTGAAAGAGGTCACAATATTTGTCCAGAAAATCATTTGAATCTGTAAAGGGATTAAGCCATCTGTCCAGTGGAATAAAACACTGAAGATCTATCTCTTTGTGAACTGAGATTTTTAACTTTCAGATCACATGGCATGAAGTTCTTTTGAATACGAAGGGCTACCCTAGGCATTGAACTTCCACTGGCAGAGGAGAAGAGAGGAAATAGAGGATGGAAGAGAAGGTTTTAAAGGGCCATGCCAGAATGTGCAGTGCATCACTTGTGCCCACATTCCATTGGTCAGAGCTCAGTCACAACACCCTGCCTAAATGCAAGGGGGACTGCTGGGCGGCCACTGCCCAGCTGCAACAACCCCACTACGGAAGGGAAGCAGAACTCTGGTGGACAGCCGGCATTTCTGCCACATAAGTAGAAGTTGTGTGGTGGCTCTCAACCCCACCTGTGTATCAGTATCACTGGTGGAGCTTTGCAAAAATGCATTTGCCTGAGCCCCAGCCCCAGAGATTCTGATTTGGTAGGCCTGGACTAGTACTTGGGAAAATCTATATTTTTATTTTTTAATATTTTTATTTTATTTTATTTTTAGAGAGAGAGGAAGGGAGGACAAAGAGAGGGAGAGAAACATTGATGTGTGAGAGAATCATCAATCGGTTGCCTCTTGCATGCCCCCAATTGGGGACCTGGCCTGCAACCCAGGCATGTGCCCTACAGGGAATCAAACCAGCAACCATCAAGGCAAG